ACCCTGCTTTACAAAGAGTGTCTGGGATGAGATAAAAGATTTCATAAGCCTGCAGAAACCTTCTGCAACCTGAATTAAATTCTGACACTGTTCGCTGAGTACCTTTAATCATGTTAATTATTAAAAAAATTTAAATATTTATATATAAATATATAATATTTATAGATGTATATAAAATTTATATAATGTATATAATATTTATATAATGTATATTATATAATTATTAAAAATATTAAAATATTTTAATAGGGTTGAAAATATATCCAGAGGAGCTGAGCACAAAGTCCCCTCAGAGCTCATTCCTTTTCCAGGCTGGGGCAGCTCCCAGTACCTGAGTTGGGCATGCTGAAAACATCTGTATCTGCATGAGGGCTGCAAATTCAGCTTTAATCTGGAGCAATGATGGACTACAGGCAGTTGTGGTGCTATGCATTGAGTTCTGCTCAGGTCTCTTTGGTAGTTCTTCTATTTATTTTTATTTAATTTTTATTTATTTTTATTTATTTATATTATTCTTTTATTTCTGCCTCGTACGTCCCATCAAAACCTTTCAAAAGCATCTTCTCATTTAGTGCTGTCATTTATTTGCTATTTCCTAGATTTCAGTTCACTAGGATGAAGTTATCCACTTCTCTAGGAAGTTGTGGATAACCCAGGATTGGAGGCTCTCTCCTGGTGTTGTTGTGTATAAAATTCATGTTTAAGAAACTCAGGGTACCATTACCTATTAGCAGAGGGGTGTGTCCCTAGAACACAGTGGGAATGGGTGAATTAACTCAAGGAAACCCCAATTTGTGCCACCTTTTCCAGGGAATCAGCAGAAATCCCCTATTCAGAATATTCTCACCCACTCCTGTCCAGAGGAGGGGGTAGAAGACAAAGTACAGGTCTCAGATTGACAAGGGAAGGGCAGCATCAATAGATGGAAAAGTGATTTTTGCAGCTCTCCTCAGCCCCAAACTCAGCATCTCAGCCATTGTGAGGCAATAAATTGGATGGAGAGATACCTCCAATGATAGGGGTTAAACCTTTCTAAACAGGAGCCAAACAATCAGGTGCTGCTTTCCTTTCATCTGCAACAAAGAAATATTTTTTTTTCCCATTACAGCAAACTGATTAGGCCCAAATCAGCCTATTTTTGATTGAAGTCAGCCTCTAATAAAACAGCTAAATATGTTACTGTTGTTCACAAATGGCTTTGTGATTTAGGCTTTTGATCCAAAATATTGTCAGATTATTATCACTGCTGAAATTCTGATGGTATTTCTTTGCTTTTTTGTGGCTATTTCCCACGAAGAGTTCCAGCTTTATGAAATCTTTATAGAAGGCTTGTGCTTATAGCAAATCTAAATTGAAGTTTTTAAATCTGGAGAGGATTGTTGTTCCCCCCCTAGTTATATTGTCAAAGGGTTTTCTATTGCAGAAACACAGAAATTCAGAGTTGCAATAAGGGGAAGAAATGAGCCAAGCTCCAGTTTTAAATTTCCAAAGCTATATCACATGAGCTGACATTAATTTTGCCAGCCTGGCAGAATCCTGTGGACATGTGGATTTTTCTTGGAGGTTGTTTTCCCAAGTTACTCTAGGTATGAATGACTTCTCTTGATTAATTTTAGTTTATAAATCTAAATAAATGTAGCCTTGGAACATTTGGTACTTCACAGCACCATTCTCTGGTGAGCAGAAACATCTGATTTCCACTCCCACCCCTGCACTTTCTGCACAGAGTTGTAAAGGATTCCTTGGGAGATAAACCTGAATAAAGCAGGACTTGAATTGCTTTTTAGGGCACATCATTCTAATGGCCAGGAAACTTGCGCAGGGTGTCCCACCAGGCTGAGAGGAACAGGCAGGAATTCCTGATGAGGAGCACCAGAGACACAGTGAGAGCATGAACTGACACCAGGGAATTTCCCTCATTGCAACAGCAAAGGCTCCAGCAGAATTTTAAATAAATTGGTTCTCAACCTGCTCTAAAATTTGTCATTTTTTGTTGCAGACACTGGGAAGTGCTCACAAGGATTAGCAGGCAGCAATTACTTCCATAAACGTTTCATTTGGGAGGAGACTGAATGGGAATTGGTGCAGGAATTCAGCAGTGGATAAAACACCTGACAGCAGGAATCAATCATTTCAAATACTGAACAAACCAGCAAATAAACACCTTCAGCATCTGCCTGCAGACTGTCTCTTGCAGCAGGCCCTTCAATTTGGGATCAGCAATCTCTTTGGTGAAGGTTGGTCTCTCCTCTATATTGAATCATCCAATGTTTACTGTCCCTCAGCTTCCCTCTGTTTTTAGAATTACTCTCAGGAATAAAATGAGAATTCACTGTTAGCTTTGATGTTTAAATGTATCCTGTTGAGTTTGCTAGGCCTGGCTGGGAGACAGAAAAACAGGGTCTGTTTTGATCCCTGCTGAAAACAAGATGAAGAAGGAGGTAAAAATAAATCAACAAAAAAGCCCTCCAAGTTGAGTTTAGTTTGTGCAAAGTCAGCTTAGGAAAAATTGATCTATTCCATCCTCAATTAATGAATAACAGCTGCATTGAAAACAAAGCCACAAATACAGCAACCAAAATCAAAATTACCTCTGGTATTATCTGTGGTAAGGATACTTTAAAAAAAAAATATATATATAAGAATTTAGCATTTTTTTCAGTTTTCCCACTGGCAGATCTCCTTTCCCAAGATAGGTTTGACTAGAACTCTAAATGCTGGCATCAAGAAGAAAAGAGAGAGGCTCATCCTGCACCTGTTAGGTTGCAGGATTGATGTGACAGAGAGCTGACAGGGTGAGGCCCTGGCACCCACTCTTGTGACAGGCATCACTGAAATGCAAAATCCTGGAAACTTTACCCACAGCAGAAGCTCCAGTGGGTAATGTACAAGCAGGGTACAAAGTCAGCTCAAGTTAATTTAAAATCTATCCGTGGGCACCTTTCCACTGTGCTCCAGGAGCACTGCACAGGTGGCCAGGCAGGGGGAAAGGGCCCTGGAGCTGGAGGGTGAGAGGGAGAGGATTCCCATGGAACAAGACCTGACTGTCTCTGGGACATTTCCAGCAGAGAATCGTGGATTTAGGAGCTGTGAGTTCCAAAGTGCATCCCCTGGCGTCGCAGAGCAAAGCCTTGCTGATCATAACTGCAGCAGAGTGTGGAGCTGAGGAAGTTCTGAAGCAAGGACCTGGCTTGGGTGCTGCCATTTGCCAAGGAGAAGCTGCAGAGATGAAGCAAGAAGAGGTATTTAATTTGACTTTGGAAACTTAGGGTGAAAATGACTGACCTACAAAGAAATTTTAAGAAGGAGTGGGTTAGATAAAAAAAAAAATCTCTATTTGAAATATTTGATTCAACCTGAAACAAAACCATTTGTAATATTTTTTCCCCTCTTCTTGCCTCTTTTACAGCTTGAATTTTAAGCCAAGCCCCAGCCAGCAATGCCCACATGGGCTCCTTGCCTCTGCATTTCCCTGCTGGAACTCGAAAGCGCCCACATTGTTTCCACACTTCCCAAATGTTCCCCCTCCGTTTATTTTTTCATCCCGTCTGTCCCCCGGCTCTCCCCGCCGCCCTTTCCAGCTGAAGTTTGTGTCATCTGTTCCCGCCGGGTTCCTTTTTTAACTTGCAGGGACCGTGCCAGCCCCCGAGTGCGGCAGGTGCGGGGCTGGGCCGGCGGTGCCAGCCCTGCCCGAGGGCTGCGGAGCAGGGATGGGACCGCCGGGGATGGGGATGGGAACACGGCTGCCAACCTGCCGGGCTCGGGGATACCAGGGATGGGACTGCCGGGGATGGGGATGGGAACGCAGCTGCCAACCTGCCGGGCTCGGGGATACCAGGCATGGGACCCGCCGGGGATGGGGATGTGGCTGCCAACCTGCCGGGCTCGGGGATACCAGCCCTGCCCAGGGCTGCGGAGCAGGGATGGGACCCGCCGGGGATGGGGAATGGGGATGGGGATGTGGCTGCCAACCTGCGGGGCTGGCCCTGCCCGCGGCTCCATCCCTGCGGGATGCAGAGGGATGCGGAGCAGGGATGGGACCGCCAGGGATGGGAATGGGAATACGGCTGCCAACCTGCCGGGCTCGGGGATACCAGCCCTGCCCAGGGCTGCGGAGCAGGGATGGGGATGGGGATGTGGCTGCCAACCTGCAGGGCTGGCCCTGCCCGCGGTCCCGTCCCTGCGGGATGCAGAGGGATGCGGAGCAGGGATGGGACCGCCAGGGATGGGGATGCAGAGCACGGCTGCCAACCTGCCGAGCTTGGACCTGCCCGCGGCTCCATCCCTGCCTGAGGCTACGGAGCAGGGCTGGGACCGCCGGGGATGGGGATGTGGCTGCCAGCCTGCGGGGCTCGGCCTTGCCCGCGGTGCCAGCCCTGCCCGGGGGCTGCGGAGCAGGGATGGGATTGCCGGGGATGGGGATGCAGAACGCGGCTGCCAGCCTGCCGGGCCCGAGGGATGCACAGCGGGGCCGGGACCCGCCGGGGGGCGTTATGCGGGTCCTAACTTGCCCGGCTCGGCCCTGCCCTGCCCGCGGTCCCATCCCTGCAGAGAGATACGGAGCAGGGATGGCACTCACCGGGGATGGGGATGTGGCTGCCAACCGGGCAGGCTCGGCCCTGCCCGCGGTCCCATCGCTGCCGAGGGATGCGCAGCAGGGATGGGACCCTCTGGGGAATGGGAATACGGCTGCCAGCCTGCCGGGCCCGCGGGTACCATCCCCGCCCGAGGGGATGGAGCAGGGCTGGGACTGCCGGGGATGGGGATGCAGAACGCGGCTGCCAACCTGGCCCTGGCCGCGGGCGGGGAGCGCAGCCGGGGATGCTCTGCTCTCTGCTCGCTGGTGATGCTCGGTGCTGATGCTGGGTGGAGGAGAAGGAGGAGGAGGAGGAGAAGGAAGAGAAGGAGGGGGGAGCTGGCGGGACAGCCTGAGGTGGGCGGAGGGGGGAGGCGGGTGTTAAACCATCGCTCCTGGGAGGGCTGAGCATTTGCAAATTCCGGCTCCATCCAGAGCGCGGGGAGCATCCTCCAACCCACGCCGGGCCGCCAGCAGCGGCAGGGCAGGACGAGGCTTCCCGGCTCCCGGGGATCCCGAACGCCTCCTCCCCTCCTCCCTGTGCCCTGCCCGCGCTGCCGGAGCCGCAGCATCGCCCGCAGGCAGCGCTCAGCACAGCCCGGCCCCTGTCCCCGGCGCGCAGGCAGGCACGGGCACAGCCCTGGGTGAGTAATCCCGGAGCTCCTGCGGGCAGGCCACAGCCATCCCGGCCCTTCTGCGCCGCCCTGAGCGCCCAGGTGTGCCCGGCAGGTGCGGCACAGCCCCGGCCTCTGGTAGGTCAGGCAGGATGGGATCCTTGCCTGGGGAGGGATTTTTGAAAGGCTTCCCTCTCTGCTAGCAAGTTACCTGTCACCACTTGGAATTACTCCTTCCCTTGCACAGAACCTTCTCTCTCCCTCCCACCCCTTTCTTTTCCTTCCCCCCCCCGCCTTACAACTTTTCCAGCCTCGTGGAGTTGCCTCCCTCATTTTCAGCCCCAGATTTCCAGAGGTAACAAGGAGCCAGTGCCACCCTGGGCGATCTCAGTCGTTGAAGATCAGTGGCAGCAAGTGTCTTAACACACCTGTGTGTTCTTCTTTTGTTCTCCACTAGGCTGAAAAGTCATGACAGCTGAAAAGACTATTCCTATAATTAATGGCAAGCCAGAAGATGCTTTGGACCCAGAAGCCTCAAGTACCAACCTCGTCCACAGCAACGATAAGAAAGTTCATGAAAGAGGTCACTGGAACAATAAGGTTGAATTTGTGCTTTCTGTGGCAGGGGAGATTATTGGGCTGGGAAACGTCTGGAGATTCCCCTATCTTTGCTACAAGAATGGAGGAGGTAAGATGGCATCACGTGTGGATTTAGATGGGAATTAAACACGGGAATTAAACAGTTAAGAGTGCCTAGCTGTGATTTATTGCACTAGTAAGAGAGACGTGTTCAGGCTTTCAGTGCATGTGCAGACAGGGAAGCATTAACATCTGACAACTGAGAAAAATCGCTGTGTTTCTCTTTCCTTCTCTCCAAACAAACTGAGTGGTTTATTTTTACAAGTTGCTGCTACGTTAGTAATTTGACATATTTTTTGCAGGAGCATTTTTCACGCAGGAGAAGCCAGCGTTCAGTCATAGTAGTACACTCTGTCTTCTGCATGTGAATACACACCCAGGCATACTTAACTAAGTTTGTCTGACACAGAAAAGAAGGCAGCACTTCATTAGTCACAGCAGTGTACTTTGGAAAGGATGAATATTTTTTTTTCTAATAATGCCGCAAAGACTAAATTAATTTTCTTTGTCGCATGAAATTTTTTATACCTCCAAGTTCTTTTTTTTTTTCCCTCAGTACTTCCCCAATTCCTACAGCAAAGCAGGGAAAGATGTAAAACTAGAGATTACTGGAAAAGAGCAAGCCCTTATAAATCCAACATATGAATGTTGTTTAGGAGAGAAAAGAGCAGACTCAACTTGTCCAGAGTGTAACATGTGGCACGTACTGGCCACAGCCAACTGTAAACTGTATAAGATCAATGACAGCTGAGAATAAGCACATCAGCTTGGGCAGCAGTGAAGAGAGGAAAGTAAATTACAAACTCAGTTTAGAATTCTGTGGACTGGGTTCAATATTCTTCCCACTTAAGGCCTGAGTCAGTGGCAGTGTAAACACAGAGGCTGGAAGAAAAATAGGATGTTGGGGGCTGATAAGCACTGATCTGCTCCTGGATGGGTTTGTTTGCTGTGCCAAATTTCTATTCCTTGTCCCTCCTTATCTGAACTCAGGGATGGTTTTTAGCCCATTTTGTGTGCTGTTCCTACAAGACAAATCCTGCTGTGCAAATTGTGTTTCTTGTTGGAAGTTCCTTTCTTTATGTCTCTGTATTTTGGCCAAACTTAGGTAACAAGAGTTCAGCTCTTTAGAGAGTGCTGCTACCAGATCCTGAATGTTAACATGCTGCACATCATATACACAAGCCTTTCTTGTTGATGGTCAAAGTGTTCCCAGAGAACTTTTGGCAGAGGAAATGACAAGAATATATATTTGCTGTGTAGTTTTTTGGTTCCTACAGCTTTAGGTGCCCATTTGTGTGTGCCAGCTTGCTGTCATTTTAAAGGCTGTAACATGAGGGAGAAAGAATTTCCATCATTGTTTTGGGTGATTTGATGAAAAAGTAATTACTTAAATATCATATTTAATCACCACTGTGCTCTTTAAGAATAGAATAAATGGGTGTGCTTTAATTGCTCATGTCCTGGCACCACGGGACATTTGCCAGTGACCAGTTTTAGTCAATGGAGGCTCAGTCTGTGAGCTTGTGTAACCCCCTGCTGGAATTAGACCAGAGTTTGTTTTTAGTGCCTAAATGTGATGCATCCAACTCCTTGGTGCTAGGGGAAGACAGTGGTAAATATCTGAGCTAGTTGTGAAATAAATTGCTCGTTACAGAACAAATTTGGAGGCTGTAGTTTGGAACTTGTGAGGTGTGACCTCTCTGGCACTTCAAGTCATAACAGGGAGTGTAGGAATAATCATCTGGAAGTTTGGGCTGTGGATGTTCAGGTTTTTGAGGAAAATTCATTTCTTTGTGCATTTAGAATGAGGTATTTTGTGGAACATGATCTTTTTGCAAGCTGGGCATCCTGATGTTTTCTAATGTTCCTGATGTATGCCTGTTGAAAAAAACCAAGCAGGTACTTTGGATGTCCACAAGTTGCACTGTTAAACTCGCTGTGATAGTGTGTGTGATGATACTGGCCAGTAAATTATCCAGGGAAGGATTCCATTCTTTGTGGAACCCCTATGGATTGCTTGAGAGGCACCTGGGATTCATCTCTAAGGAAATTTCTGGTTGAGGGAAGAGACTCCTGGTGATGAGATGAAGAAAACTCAGAGCAGGTGGATGCAGTTGTCCCAACTTTGTCACCAGGGTGACTGAAGCACAGCAGCTGTTGCAGGGTGAGGGTGTGCTGTGCTTGGGTTTGCTGTGGTTCACTACCTGTGCTGGAGTTCACTGTCAGCATCCAACCAAAACGTGGATTCTTTGTTGTTTTCCTAGAATTTCACACCAATATTTCTGGCTGATAAGGCCAGGCCCTGCTTTCTTGTCCTTGGGAGTAGTTCTGAAGTTGTTCTCTCATTCCCTTTCTGCAATCCTTATCATATAAATAACATGAAAAGGATTTCTCAGATTTAATATCTGTAACACTTTCTCGCCCCTGAGAAAAGCAAGGAGGGTGGTGCTGGGCAGAGCAGAACTTGGAGCTGAGCATGGCTGGGATCTTTTCTGTGTTTGAGAGACTCCTGAGCTGACTTTAGGCTGAGGACCTTTGATCTGCTCTGTTTTAGCCCATGGCCCTGGCTTACAGGTTAACTTTGGATATTTGGGGCAGGATAAACCCTTCCTGCACTGCACTGATGGCTCCCAGCTGAAGATCCTTCCTTTAATGGGAAAATCCTCCCTGTGTTCCTGAGGAGCCCTGTTCATTCTAACCAACACCCCTCAATGTTCACCCCCAGGTGCTTTCCTCATCCCCTACGTGGTGTTTTTTATTTGCTGTGGAATCCCAGTATTTTTCTTGGAGACGGCCTTGGGACAGTTTACAAGTGAAGGAGGCATCACATGCTGGAGGAAAGTTTGCCCTCTCTTTGAAGGTAACAATTCTGTGTTCTACTGCAAAAGAAAGCTTTCAATTTGAAGTGAAATGAAATTATTGTATCAAAATTGAAGTTAAGATACGCTTAGGAGTAAGCTTTTGTTTTTAAATTAAATACAGCCTGAAATGCAGAAGTTTTCTTTTGTTTCTCACATTTTCTTTTGCTCCTCCAGGCATTGGCTATGCTACCCAAGTTATAGAGGCACACCTAAATGTATATTACATCATCATTTTAGCATGGGCTATCTTCTATTTGTTCAACTGCTTTACTACAGAGCTTCCCTGGGCTTCCTGTGGCCACGAATGGAATACAGGTATGACCCCAGCAGAGATGACCACTATAAAATCCTCCCAAATGATTGATTATTATATTGAAATGTCCTGAACAAAGCTACTGGTGTAGCAAAATCTGTGCAAATGGGCCAATCTCATCCCACTACAGCAAAAAAAAAAAAGGAAACCTGGAGTGAAACTGCCTTGGACCTTTTTGGGTTAGGTCATTGTGAAGCATTTTCTCCTCTAGAAGAGAATGTCAGCAGAAAAAGACTATGGATTTGTTAATTCTGTAAGATCTTCTGGCTAAATCCCAAGACTCTCATTTGCAATCATATCTATTCTCCCTGAACACACTGAGTGAATTCTGCAGCACAGAATGACCTGATGACAGGTTGCAATCTTGCTCTTTCACTCTAATGAAGTCAGGAGGAGTCTGAATGGAGAGGGAAAAATATTAAATGTGGATCTTTGGAATTGCTCTTTTAAATGCCAGATGTTGAGGGATAATGTTCATCAAGCTACTTCTGGAAATGTAGTCTCATAAATAATCCTTGCTGCATGTAAAGTAGCCTCCTGCATGCAGGATGAGGTATGGATTCAGGAGGGTTTGCAGGGCAGGGCTCTGCATCTGTCTTTTCATTGATATAAAATATCTGTCATTCTCTGCTCTTTGAGTCTCTGGATCCCAAACATCCATGGGGAGGGTCTCATCCCACTGTCCTTGTTCCTGAAATTTTGCATTTATCCCTTATATACAGTCCAATTTCAAATCAAGTACCCATCATGTTGTCTTTCATAGTTTTTATTAACTGGCTATGTTTGGTCTTCTTTGAGCACACCTAGACTGCCTGAAATCTTAGTTTCTGAAATCTCAGGGAGGTAATTTTGGGCCCAGTAGATGTGAAAGGCTTTGGTATCAATTCTGGCAGCCCTGCCAAGGAGCTTGGCCAGTGTTATCAGTGCTCAAATGCTCCACAGTGCTGAGCTGTTGTGGCCTTTGTGTTAGAGATAATAACAATAATAATAATAATGATGATAATAGTGACAAGCCAGAGGAAATACCCACTTTCCTTACCAGGAAAAAGTGGCAGTTTAGGGCTGGCCATGTTCCCTTTGTAGCCATAAACCACTGAACCAGCAGCTGGAGTAGGAGCACGTTGTAATTTTAGTTCCCAATCCATTGCCTCCATGTTTCTTTCTTCTGCCTGAGGTGATTTTTTGGCCCTATTACTCTGGGAAGTGTTGTAGGAGAGTCCTCATGGATGTTTCTCTGGGTTATCACAACCTGGTGTTGCAGAATTAGCAGCTGCGGCCCTTAGTGCCCCCAAAAACCCTTAAACCCCACCCAGAAACGTGGTGCAGAGTGGGGGCTTTCCAAGGTGCACAAAGTGAGACATGAACAATAACTGTACTTGCATACCAACATAGCAAACTCCTCTTTTTTTTGGTTCTTTTCTAGAAAACTGTGTGGAATTTCAAAAACTCAACATGAGCAACTGCAGTCAGGTCTCTTTACAAAATGCCACCTCTCCAGTGATGGAATTCTGGGAGTAAGTGCACAAAAACTTTATATTTGATCAGACTGTTCACTACCTTTATATTTGATCAGACTGTTCACTACCCTTGTATTTGATCAGACTGTTCACTACCTTTATATTTGATCAGACTGTTCACTACCTTTATATTTGAGCAGACTGTTCACTACCTTTATATTTGATCAGACTGTTCACTACCTTTATATTTGATCAGACTGTTCACTACCTTGTAATGATTTGACCATTTAGACCTCATAACCCTATAGCGCTTAGGGATGTGAGTTCAGCTGGAAAGTTTCTTATCCTGCCATGGTTTTTGAGAGTTTTTAACTCTTTTTTAAGAGGATAGAAGGAAAGGAATTCCATATCCTGAAAGGACATAGAACAAAGTGTGCCACTTGCTCGGGAGCTTGGCTCCTGCTGCTGGAGGAAAGAGCCTCCAGCCCATACTAATGAGGAGGCAAAGGTGAAAGAAAGAAGATGATTTACAATATTCCTTTTTCCCCTCTTTTTTTTTTCTTTTTTTTTTCCCCTCCTAAATGTTTCTTCCCTTAGGAGTTGGAGAGCTACATCCTCACCCTTGTTTCAGCTAACTAATACTCTGGCTTCTGGATCTCATTATTTTTTAAAGGACTGTGTAAGTGTTAGTTATTCAGCTAGAATAACAGCAGAGTTTAACTCTCTCCTCTCCCCCTGACTCTGATTTCTTGCTAGACTAAGGGAAGAAAATCAGATGTTTGCAGAAGATGAGCTGCTTTTGTGGTGACACATTTTTTCTGACTATAAATATTTAATCAGTGCAGTGTAGCCTCCCATTTGTTCCTTGCAGGGTGTAGTGTGTGCTGAGCCAATCAGAGAAATGGAATGTTACTTTGAATTCTGAGTGATTTCACAATTCAAAGCCTGTTACACAATTCTGGGTTACTACCATTTCTTGAGGACCCATTAATTTTATTTTTAAGACAGAGCCTTATTCCGAGGCTGGTTTGTGTTCAGGACAGCAACAGCTACACTTTAAAGAACCAGGAATTAAAACTTCTTGAAGGGAAAACTCCAGATTGACATAATTTCCTTCAATCTTAGGATGTGCTATTGTCTGCCTGAATCTCTTTTTCTTGCTACATCAGTACACTTAGGTTTCATGAGTTATTTCAGCAAATAAAACTGTTTTATTTAAAAATAAAATACCTCCCCCCCAAACTAAATAAACCTGAATAACATGAGAGATGTATGAACTCTCTGGGTAAAACTGAAATTTTATTTTCTGTTAAAATTTTCAATAGTCTGAACACCTGACATCTTAAATCAAAATATAACTACCCACAGATAGTATTTCAGAATAAACAGGAGTTTCTCGTGTGGCATCACTTAATGCTACAGCTTTATTTTATTTTAGCCAAAATCTCATATGGTTCTTTGGGATAATGAGAATTAAGGCTTAACATCAGTGGAATAAAGGAACAGTATATTTTCTCAAGTATTAGCCAATTTACCCTCTGCATTTGGATGATTTTTCAACAATATTCCCAGCTGTTCCAGTGATGGTAACTCTGGTTATCCAGAGAAGTAGGAAATGTTTAGTTCAATTCTATGGACAGCACAGAGTAAGTTTTGCACTCTCATATTTCTGTGGTTTTACACTCTCATCTTCCTATGGTTTTACACTCCCATATTCTCATATTTCTGTGGTTTTGCACTCTCATATTTCTGTGGTTTTACACTCTCATCTTCCTATGGTTTTACACTCCCATATTCTCATATTTCTGTGCTTTTACACTCTCATATTTCTGTGGTTTTGCACTCTCATATTCCTATGGTTTTACACTCCCATATTCTCATATTTCTGTGGTTTTGCACTCTCATATTTCTGTGGTTTTGTGGGTTTTGTGTCAGTGCTCGTCTCTGGAGTGCCTCAATTCCTTGGTCAGTGTTATTTTGAAGCACACACAAATCCATTTTAAGGCTGTCCCTTCTCAGAGATCTCTGAAAATGAAGCCAAACCAGATTCTCCAGCTCCACTTGCAATCAGGTTGCAGTGGGTTTTAAACCCTTCCATTTCAGGGCATATTTCCCTACCTGATTTTGGCTAAATCAGGAATAAATTATGAAACCAGAAGGAAGAATCAGATTTAGCCTTTTCTCCAGCTGTTTTTACAGTCTTGTCAATAAAAAGTTGAAAATACACATTCCAAACCTTTTAAAATCACAAACACAAAGAAAAAAAAAAGGTAAATTAAATAATCTGTTATTTATTTGGAATGTCTTTCTTTATTGTGTCACAGACAAACTTTTTGTAACACCAACAGTTTGCTGGCCAAAATAACTTAAGATATTAAACTTTTCTACTTACTCTGTCCAAGTAAAACTGGAGTTGCATAGTTTTGCACAAGGAAATAAATGTACTCTCTTCCTGCTAAGGAAGGTGTTTGCCCTGTTTGAAATTTAAGTAGTTATGACGTTGCATGGCTTCAAAATTGAAAAAAAAACCACCATGAAAAACCAGTTTCAAAGTGGAAGAATGAGTTTTAATAAAAAATCAGGATTGATTTTGCCTTGAAATAACTAATTGGAATTAAGATTATAATTAAATTATGGCTTAAATCTCAAAGATAAAAGCAGAGCAGGGTCTTTCTGTATGAAGAGAAGATCATGGAGCAGTTAATATCACTAGAAGAGCTGCTTTCTGTGGAGATAAGTGTTATCAGCAATGTTATTTCCCTCAGCTAGAGGTGGTGTTGCTTTATGATTTTGTAAATTCTGCTGCCAGGAGCCATAAACTCATTGTAAGCCTGTTGAAAGGGAGATTTGCTGGAGTAGGGAAAGGGGAGGCTCCAGGTTTTTTAGAACCTTCACCCTTTGCTCCCTGCAATGCCAAGGCTGCCATTGAACCTCCTCTGAGCTGTGGCCACATAAAGCCAATTTATTGTGTGAAGGGTTGGCTGTGGGGAGAAAAAATGGGGTTTTGTGGGATTTTTTTTTTATTTTTATTTTTGGGGTGGTTTCATTTTTTTTGTCTGTTGATTCAATCTGTGGATGAGAGTGGTAATTGCTGTGCCCAGTGATCCTGGTTGTTTTTTGTAAGTGAGTTTGTTCACATGTGAAACCCAGCCCTGTATTTATGAAGTGTCAGGCTGGTGCTGCAGCTCCCCTTTCCCAGCCATATCCCACAGCTTCTGCCATAATCCCACTCTCTTCAGATGGTTTTAACTAAGCCCAGCCTAACCAGAGGAGACTCAGCAGTTCCCCAGTGGCTTTGCAGTGCTCTGTGCTGCTCTCAAGCCCAGTGCTCCCAGTCTGAGAGCTCCTCATGCTGGGCAGGCCCAGGTTGCTGTTTCACACAGGATTTACATTCTCTAAGTGCCAGCAGAGGCTGGCAGCAGGGGCACAAGTTGGATTTAAGTGTGTAAATGAATACACCAGGCCCAAACCATCTTTATTCCTGCCTTTGGAAAGGAATTTTTTTCCCTTTTACGTGGTGCTGCTAAGTCTTTTCCTCCAGCTAGGCTGTAAGGCTCAGCCCTTATTCACTCATTTACTGGAAGTAAATCCAAATCCTCAGCTGGTTTGAGGACTGCAAACCCAAACTTCAGCCTCTCTGCTGAAATATTTGTAGCTTTTGCTGCTTCTGCAGCCTTGGCAAGTCCTAAAGCTGTGGCTGAAGTGGGCAGGGACTGCAGAGGTGGCAGAGGACACCTGGCAGTGCCTTGAGGCTTTTCCATTTCCCTTCCTCAGGTGTGCCCAGGGGATGCTGCTCCCTTAGCAGGAATACTCTGACTTTGAGAATTCATCTTCTCTCCCTGCTTTGATAACTGCCTCACACAGAGGGTGAAAGTTTAATTTTTGTCTTGCATGGATTCTTTCTTTGTTAAAACAAAGCAAAAAAGGATTCAGAGAGAAATCCTGCAGCAGGTGCTAGGTGCTGTTTTCCTCCTGGTACACTCCAAAGAACCTCATTCAACTTCAAAACTTCAAATATTTTTGTGAGACTGTAATTGGTAACCACTTCCCTGGAGCTACACAGTGAAAACAGGCTGATCCTGCTGGAGGTGCAGCAAAACTTGGCAGTTTGGACAATCTTTTCTTTTTTTCCTGCTTAGAAATATCTATTTCTGTCAGTGTTTTAAGGCTTCATTTGAGTGAGCAGACACCACTGACAACTGATCAAAATTAGGGGATTAAAGGATTTGTTACTCCAGAAGGCCTTGCAAGCTGCAGCCTTGAGAAGTTCCAAATTCTGTGTGTACAGGGAAGCAGCTAAACTGATGAAAATTCACTTTTTATTCTTCAAACTCACTGCTGCTGCGTTCCAAAGGACAGACAAGAGCTTGAATTTCCACTTTTCCCTTCATACTTGTGCCAACATTCAGAGACTTGACCTGTTTTCTCCCATCTATGGCCTTTCCCTCATCCCAGTGGTACAGTTTGTTGAAGGATTTTCTAAGAAAAAGCAATAATCCCACTTTCAAGGCGTGGCACGTAGAATTTTTGACATCCAAAATTAGAATAGTTAATACCGTTAGCTGCTAATTACTGCTAAATTAGAGCAGGATATGAGAAATCCCCGTGGCTGTGGGTGAGGGTGCATTTACAGCCTGGCAAACAGAGGGGAGATGCTCTGCCCCATCCTTTTTCTGCTTTCCTAGGAGAGGAAATTGCCTGGCAGGTGTGGGGGCTGCAGCCATGCCCCTGTGCCCTTTTGGCTGCTGCTCCAGTCTGTGCCCAGGGGCAGGAATTGGAGCTTTCCAGAGCCTGGGAAGGAGCTGGACAGAAAGAGGAGCCGCGGTTTTGTGGCTGATTCCACCTCAATGGTTTTTTATTGGCTGTGTAGCAACAAGTTGGTGCTCTGTTCAAGGAGGTCTGTCACTCTCTGGAGGGGGTGACACATCCCCAGCCTTTCCAAGTAAAGCCTAGTGAGAAAAAACATCGGTTTTGTCTGGCCTAAAAGAAAAGGGGCTGCTCTCAGCAAAAAGGAAAAGGCACAAACCCTTTCCTTGCAAAGTCAAAAAAGAGGTTTT